AACGGAAAGAGAGAGAAGGAAAGGGGGAAGAAAGCCCCTAAGACGAACTAACCAACCAGCCAACCCGCATTCCAGATGGTATCGTAAACCGTCCATTCGATCGAGACCTATTCCTCCCATCTGTAGCTTTCTCTGCCCACAAGTACCATTAACCTCCTTTAAAAAAACAAAAAAAACCATCTGCCTTTCCAGGCACCGCACACCCTCTCTTGCTGCGGGTGAATTGAGTGAGAATAACCCGTTGACGGAGATGCGCGCACGCCCCCTCCTCCCCCTCTCATCTTTTCGTTGACCGGACAGGAGCTTCCTCACCACCTCGACTCCGCTGTCGACGAAGACGACAATGACAACAACAGAAACCCAACCATGACATCCAACGAAACGACATGGATGTGGAGGAGAGAGGTTCCACGAGAGAAACTGAAAAGAGTACAGATACGCAGAAGGGAAAGAGAGGAAGGGTAGGTGGTTGTACGACGATGCACGGCACGCACGGAGTCGAACCCCGCGTCCCCCTTCCCTCCTACGCACGGCACGCCCCAAGCTATGGCCGATGCGTGGATGGAAGAAGCTGCGCTGCTGCTGCTGCTGCTTGCCGCCTCCCGTTTCGTTGCTAAGGCCCATCCCCCCTTCCCCCGATGACCTGCAGCAACGAGCGACGGTTCACCGAGAGAGAAACGTTAAATCCTCTCCCCCCCCTGGTCCGTACTTTGTGTCTTTTATTTACGAGATACGAGGCCGCTGCGAATAGGGAGGGGGGAGAGGACGGCGGCACCCGAGGCGCGCGCGCCGTGCGACGGTTCCACGAGACGCCGATATGAACAAACAGACTACCCGTCTTTTACGATCTAGGTCACCGACCAAGTCCACCACCCCCCTCCCTCTGCCACATGTTCAGCGGGTCCTTTTGGCCCTTCTCGTCCTACTTCTTCTTGTAGGACCGTCCCCTGGACGTCGTGTAACTAAAGAAAAAAAGAAAAAAAAGACGAGACGTAAACCCATACATGTGCTCACACACAATGCCAAGTGAAGTAAGTAGCGCACGAAAGCACACACAGCAAGCAACACGTCGCACGGCGTACAATGCACACACGCATCCGGGCAAAAGCTTCCATGACATAGAGCAGGTCAGGTCGTGGCGGCCACCACCACCACCGCATCGCCTTTTTTTTTTGTTTTATTGCACAGTCTCTACGTGCGTACACCCAAACCTCCGTCCCTCGTGTCACATGATCGGTGTGGGGGACGTATAAGTGTGTCATTCGATAGCAACCTTCGTCCTGCTGTTGCCGTTGCCGTTGCCGTCGCCGTTGCCGTCGGCCAAATTTTATCCATTTGCCTTTTTATTCCCATCATTCTTCTTGTTGGCCTCTGGCCCTGTACCGCCTGGAAACTCTGTCGTTGCGACGTTGCTGGATCTCTGGATATCCGCGATAGGTCAGATCGCATCGACCATGTTTGGATACCCGCGATAGGCCAGATCGCATCGCCCAACCCCACCCTCGGTCTCCGGCCATCTAGTGTCTGATAGAAATGACTCCTGAGCCATCCCACCCTTGTCCGACAACGTGTCGAGCGGGCGGCGGATATACTTGACGGCGAATATGGGGGGGAAGGGTTACAATAAAAATAAGGAGAAAAAAAGAGGCCCCCGTCGCAACAAAACGCACCCCTGCCCGAAATGCCAAGATCCCCCCATCTGAATGTGGATATCGGATCGGATCAGAAACCATGACAACTGACAAAGTCTCCCCCCTCCCTAAACCCCGAACCCCACCTCTCATCTCGCCGAAGGGGGGCTGCAATCCCAGCTCACACTCTTCCCCCTGTCCTATTGTGACTTGAACCTGGGAAATCCCAATGATCCCACGATGTCATACCGCGATGACGGATCTCCCACGTAAAGAGAAAAGGGAGAAAAAAAAAAAGGAAAAAAAAAAAGCTACCCGCGCGGCTCACTTACAGAGTGGGCCTGCTCTGGCCAAAGACGACGACGAAAACGACGATAACCACACGTCGTCGTCGTCGGGGAACCAACCGCGTCTGGGCACAGATACGGCGCCCCCTAGCGTTTGCACGCTCTGTGAGGTCGCATCAACCGCGGCACACACAGCACACCATATTTTCACCAACCCTGTATACACACACACAAACAATACACAGCAAGGCATGCATCGCTGAGGGGGGGGGGATGCGCCATGGTTTATTACTTCCCGGAACAAGACAAGCACAGCGCGCGATACGGTTACTCTAAACGGAGCTCAGACCCGCGGGCCTGTCCTCCCACACACCCCCACCTTCTTTGATATACGGGTACACTAGTTGATTAGACGCTAGCCTGTCGACCCTTTCCCGGTCGACACCGGCACACCTATTCGTCCCGACTTTTGTCTTTCTGACGGCTTGAAGGGGGGGTTGGACCGATGAGATGTCAGAGTCAGGACCGAAGCCTCCCCAACCCAAGCCATCAAGGGGGGGGGGGGGGGGGCAGAACGGAATCCCTTCCCTGACCACAAACCTTCTGCCAGCTTTTGGCCCGATATGAGTTCTCCTCTGCCTCGTTCCAGCGCCAAGCGGTCGTACGAAAGGCGGGGCTGGAGGGGAGGTGGGATGCAGTAACATTAGACGCTGCTCTCTTTTTGTTTTTTGCCCGTTATTACTATCATCATTATTGCAGACGTGGAATCCCGGGGGGTGCATGGCCTTGTACCGGGAACCTGGGATAGAGAGAGAGGGAGAGAGAGAGAGTGTGAGAGAGTCTACGCATAAAGAAAGTAACATTCTCCAGAACAATACCAAGAAAGAGGAGACCAAGCTAAGGGATACCCAAAATAGGATACTTCCGAGAGGTTACTACGGCGAGAGAAGCAGCCAGGGAGGCAACAACGAGCAAGACACACACACACACACACACACACGCGTACCTACCTACCTAGGTCGCCCCGGGGAAGGGTGTGGCGTGTGGCGTATGCCGCTGCTCCTCGCCAGCCCGCCTGGGATACCATGACATTTGAGGATTGACTGCATGTGGCTTTTCCCCCGTCTCCTCCCCCCGGTTGCCCAACGATACATGAACCGGTCGGCGAGCTCGCGAAAAAAAGAAAGATAAAAAAAACATTGCAATTTTTTTTTTATTTAGAAAAGTTTGGGTCTTTGTGCTGGTCGTTGCAACGACCGAATGATAGACGTGACGTTCGAAAAACACTCCTTGGTCACTTTTCACATCGATCACTTTTCGACCCGAGATCATCCCCGTTCCCTCCCGCTTCCCGCTTATCACACAAAACGCCCACACAGACTCCCGTCATAGGAAAAGGAAAGAAGGAAGGGGGGGGGGAGAGAGAACCCTCCGGCTAAGAACCCCCCCCTGGCGCTCCCGCTATCGCATTATCATCGCACTCTAGCACTCTCAGAACCATGCTCGCGTATCCCCTTCCCCTGGTCAAGCAAATGGGAGGAAGAGGGGAGAGGGGTGGGCAGAAATAAGTAACAAAGCATGGCCTAGGAAGTAATCCCAACTCCTCTTTCCAACCCCCCCCCCCTCTCCCCAAAAACACATCCATACTGAAGCCAAGCCAGCAAGGTAGATCTCACGCATCATTCTCGTCGTGGCTAATGACGAGATGTAACCCTCCCACACCCCCTTCCCGTCAGGACCATCCATACTAGCGGGAACAAATCGAGTTGCCAGTTACAGGTGGGGAGAAGGGCCCGCTGCCCTGGGACGTTCGATTGGAACGCTCGCTGGAGCCTACCGTCCGTCCCCTCCCCACCCTGCCGTGGCCGTCTGTTACCTACGTACGGCCAGCCCGCGAGGAACAGCAATATACTGAAACAACCCTCCCCAGGCGGAGTCAGCTGCATTCCCCAAAAGGTTCGTTGCTGCATATCACTTTGGTTGGCGCTGAGGCGGAAAGAAGTCTTGAAACCTCGAGTCTCCATTTGTTTCTGAAATGTTTCCTCATGTCCTGTCTGTCCCAGGCCAGGAATATACCATGAACCTGCCCTTTCCTTTCCTTTCCCTTCCCCTCCTCAAGTGTCCGTCCTCCTTTTGTTCCCCGCCGCCGGCCTCCCCCCCCCTTGGTGGTATCTTACGCATCCGGCTACTTTTACAAAACATCAACTTAAAATTGTTTGTCCCCGCACGATCCGTAGCATGAAATGGTTTCTCTCGCTTTCTCGCGTGCCACTTTCCGTGCATGTGTGTTGTATAGTAAGGAGATATGCCACAAAACTAAGGCAAGAGAACAAGGAAGAATGAAATAAAAATTGTGGCCTTGCGCCAGTCCAAGGTGTAGTAGAATCTTTATGATACGACGCCAACATCCTTGTCTACTCCCCCCCACCCCTCGAGGGGACCTTGTTTGAAATGCTCTCACTCCCTTTTTGTCTCCCTCGCCAGGGAAACCCTTGCCAGCCACAACCAAGGAAAACGTCAAGTGCGAAAATCAAGTCGTTGTTGCATGCTTCGAGAACGATCGGTGGTTGGCCTGCGGTTGCTCGCCCATACATGGACAGGCATGTCTTTGATAAGCATCGGGCTGTCTTTAAATATGCCTTTTGTTCCCCCTTCCTCGCAAAGTGACCGAATGGTTTGATGTAATAAAAACAAAAAACGACAGTGTCGAGATGAAATGTGGTAAACGCCGCCAGATGAATGCCCTGTCCCTTCGGTGCCCATCCAATTGAATATGTGATGAGGAGCAGGATATATACAGTTGAAAATAAACGTAGAAAGTCGATGCCGGGTATTGGTTAAGAGGTTATAGCTGCTAGCTGGTTGCTAGCGTGTGAAAAGAACGCAGTGTCAGGCGCTGCACGTTATATGTGCGCGCCTTGCTGGTAGGTAAATGAGGTATCTCAAGTTTGTGTGCGTATGATGGTGCAAGCCGATCCGACCCAGATGTAGTGACCAACATCCGTGTCCACAGAGATAAAGATTCCATTAGTATGTGCTGTTTGGGTTCGAGCCCCCCCCTCCAGTATCGCAGTCGTATTAGCTAGCTCCTCTCGTCAGAGGGCTTGGGGCGGATTTGTCGTGCTTCGAGCTGACGCTTCCGCTCCAACTTGGCGTAATGCAGTCCACAAGCGTTGCAAAGAGTCCGAGCACCGTCGGGCCCACGTCGCCATTCAGGCGTGTCGATTCGGTTGCAACTATGACACCTTCCGGGAGGCGCGGCCCTCTGTGCCAAAATGTCAGCCTTGCCGTTATTTTTCGTCATTTCAGTCCCAAGTCAGCTTACCCCTCGTCGCTTCTTGACCTCCGTGATGCCGTACGTCTTGTTCATGCCGTCATACATCGGTGTGTCTTCGTCATCGTAGCCCTTTTGCTTTCCAGCCGCCCGTACGCGTTCGTTGCTCTCCTTCACGAGTTGCCGAACCGAGTCGAGCGAGTTTCTGATGTAGTCCACATTATCCAACATCTCATTCACTTCTCGCTCCGTGGGGAGCCGGTCAGGTAGCGGATGACCCCCGTGCTGTTCTGCGGCAATTCTGCCATACGCTTCGGCGAAGTTGTAGATCGTTCTTGTTGCTCCAGCGATCTGAGAGAACTTATTGGTAAGCTTGACGGACACATGCTTGTAAAGGGGACACTCACTCTAGAGAGACAGTCCTGGTATCCCCAGGCGTCGAGGTGGCGGTTGAGGGTCCGGTCGTATTGGGGGCGTGCAGGACCGTACTCGGCCTCGTCGGTGTGGGCTGCGGGGCGTTGGGCATCGAACGCAGAGGGCAGCGGCGGGCCACCGTGACGGGGCGAGACGGGATATGCCGGCAGAGGAACCTGTCCAGGCGGGAGCTGACTAGGATGGGGCTGAGGGTGAGAGTGAGGGTGAGGGTGCGAATACGTCGGAGGCGGAGGTGGGTGTTGCGCGTAGGGGCCGGCAGGTTCAGCAGCTCTGGGGTCGCTCTCGCGCATATGTTCAGGCTTGTGAGGCGGGTTGGGTTGGGCCGCAGAGAAGCTGCTCAAGGGCGCGGGAGGCCGGCCGGCGAAGGGGGGAGGCCTGGGAGGGTCCGACATGGCCGGGAGAGCTTCTTGCCTGGGCGGGTACGTCGACGCATGGTGGGAAGGCCGAGGCGAGTTCTTTTCGGTTGACGACTCGGCGTAGGACCTCGGCGGGCCAGGTGCGAAGGGCGAGGGGAAGCTTTGCGGGCCCGACACGTTGGACGCCTGGGAAGGCGGGTAAGAGCTGGGCTTCGCACCCGAGATGACCTCGGAGAGCGAAGGAAGGGATTGCCGGTGAGGAGTCTCCGACTCGTCCGACGGCCGTCGAGGTTCAATGGGCGAAATCATGCCTGCGATGCTGGGCCCTGGGGCTGCGTGCTGGTAGCCAGAAGAAGAGAAGGACGAAGGGTGACCGTAATGGGTCGAGCTCGGGCTAATAAGGGTTGCGGTCGCCATGGCGGGGCCGTCGCGGTAGTGTCTGTCGATAGGGTCTCTTGGTGGAAGATGGCGAGTCTCGAAGCGATCAGGGTGACTGGCAGAAGGTGGTGGATGGCTGTTTAAAGGGGGAAAAAAGGTTTGGTTAATGTCTGACCTCGGAGCAGGGACTTGCAAACTGGGCGAGAGAACGGGCTTTTGGGGGGGAGGGTGTGGGCGTGGACGAGGATTGAACCAACCTGTGCCTAGGACCAGATCCGCCCGCTTCCATAGCGGGTTTGCCGGGAGAACAGATGAAATGGCGACTAGAGCCTCAGACGCAATCTAGAGGGGCCTCTGTGCATCTAATTCGGATAAGGCGTGAAGAGACAAGAGCGAGGCTAGTCCGTGAGTTCGGTGTCAAAGACGGGAGTCCGGCGAAGTTGGTGTAGGCGGGTGGAGATAATAGGGAGATGGTTGAAGGTGGGAGGCTCAGAGTCAAGTAAGAATAAAACCTGGGCAGGGAAGAGGTGCAGAGGCAGAAGAGGGAGTAAGAAATGGGAGACCAAAAAACCAAACCAACCAAGAACCAAGACAGACAGCGTGGTGTGGTTGGTGGCTTGGCTTGGGGTGAGGAGATGAAGTTAAGGTAAGTTAGGTAAGGTAGATTAGGCTGGTCGAACCTCTCTCCAGCTGGGTACCCGGTACGCAAGATCTGATCAAGCTATCGGGCGCGTGTGGTGCGTGTGGTGGCGGGACGGGAGAAAAGGTCACGGTATGTATCCCTTTCTGGGATGGGGGGGGGGGGTGTGTGTGCGGTAGGGTGTGAGAGAAACGGGGGAAGGGGGGTTGAGAAATCAACGAGGGGTGTGATATGCTTGCTGGATGGGCGTGCCGACAGAGAGGAGGTACCTACTGGACCTGGAAAAAAAAAATGCTGCCTAGCGTTGGTCAAGTTACCACGCTGCTCTCTGTGGCGGCCTTTTGCGAATGATTCCTTGCGAGACACACAAGCACTGTTTGAATCTCGCGTCCAGGCTAGTCCGGAGTCGGCCAGTATACTCCGATAGGGGCGTGAACTTGCCAGAATACCGTGGGTCCGGTCTAGGCTGGTGGAATTTCTGATTTCTTTTCAGTGTCGTTGCTTATTGGTAGCGGTCTAGCGCGCCTTGGAAAGCGGGCGCACTTCCAACGAGTGCTGAAAAGAGTGAGTGAGAGGCGTGCTTTCTACAGGCACGGAGGCGGTCGACCGGTCGTTCAAGAGATGTTTATGCCAGATGAGAGATATGATGGCGCGGGTGAAAGCGTAATGGGGGAGGGCGCTGACTGTCTATCGCTTGGATTAAGCGCGCGATCGCTATCGACTGCTACGCGCCACAGTGTTGAAATGGTGCCTTGAATCCGTGACTCGATGCAGTGAGTAATGGGGGACGTTAACTCGTTGGGCGAAAGAAAGAAGAAAAAAAGTCAAGCTGGTGATGTTTGCCGGGGAGAAGGGATTGTTGGATGGCGGAGAAAAGAAGGGAGGCAGGGAGAAGAGGAAAAAGTAGAAGAGAGAGGAAACGCGAACGTGCGACTGAGAGGAAGTGACATGGGTATTATGAGATCAGCAACCGAGTGCTTAGATCCAGGACTAGGTGTAAGATGTGAGGGGATAGGTATACAGGCAAGTACCTCGGTCAGTAGGTACGGAGTGGATATCAAAGAATAAGGAGCCCATAATGCCCTTGTATGCTGGGACCGGGTAGCTTGGTGTAGAGGAAGTCGATCTGTCAACCTTGGTTCGACTTATCAATCCCTTGGATACACAATGCAGCAGCAGTGGGCTCTCGGTCGAATGAGGAGAGACGACGATATTTGCACAGAGGCTCGTGGTGCGTGGAGAGAGGTACCTGCGCGACAACAGGGGGCTTGGGGAATTCGGTACAATGCCTCAACGGCGGTACGTCGCCCTGGTTTCCTTTTGCTCCTTGAGGACCAGATAGATCCCTTCCCTAATTGTTCTTGGGGGGTCATGTGGAGAGGGCAAGGTATCCAAGCCCGGGGACCAGATGTGCGGTGTGTGTGTTGGACCGAACATCGCTGTGGGTGGACCAGAGGGAGATGCGGGTGCAGCTCTCTGCATGTACCGGTCAGTGTGGACAGGGGACCAGGGCAGGGCAGGTAACGCATCGTATTGTCCAAGTATCCGTCCGGTCGACAGACCAGGGTGCGAGGAAGGGGGGAGCCCTTAGCACCCAGATTGGCGGCGACAGAGTGTCGATTAATTGACTGGTGTGCAGATGGTCTGCATTCAGGGCTTCATGCCTGGGGGCCTTTTTCCCACCCGCGCTATCCTATCTCTCTCTCCCTCCGCCTAGCTATATCCCTCCCCCCTTCCTCCCGAGATATCTGGTATGGGGTGGGGAGGGGGGACAGCCACTTCCACGCAAAGCAAGGGCTGATGCTCGATCTCAGTCACAACCAAAGGAACGTGACTCAACATCTCGAATCGACGATGGGATTCTGCAGCAACAGCAAGAGCAACGTTAACTTGTGTAGCCGGAGACTCCCACGACTAATGAATTCCTAGACGATGCGGGGGCAGTTGAACCTTGAAGGAACTCGACTTGTAGCCCTTTGGCATAACTGCTTAGCAGTGGCCTCGTCTGCAGCTGAGCGCCTCGTCTGGTGCACGCTTTTTTGGCAATCTTTACGACCAAAGACCAAAAGAAAATGGTACGATTTTTAGAGGTCATTGCATCGAGGCAGGGGGAGATGCCCCTTGACGATTGGTCCGCCATCATAAATGGATCGCAGATTGGCCCGTCGGGGGGGTCCTGCGGCTGGGCATAGGGGTTTCGCCAGGATCATGATCAGTGGTAGCTCTTGGAGGGGGGCAGCGAAATCCCAGCCGAAGAGTCGCTAGCGGCGATGGCACCGGCTTCAGCGGGTTAGCACCCACACACTTTCAGTCGCTTGTAGTTTAGATGCCGCATCGTTGATGACGTTGGTCAGATGGCGCGCCGGCGGCAGCCGTGATGGATCCAACGGGTGGGTGGTAGCATTGGTTTTGTGTGCGCGCGCCGACGTGTGATTAGATTAGGTGGCGGCGAGCTCCACATTCTTGGCACAATAGGTGAAAGAAACTGCATGAGGTTATGATAGCTTTTGGCTGGCGAGGGCTCTGAAGTACTCGAAGAGTATAGATGCTTGTGCGATGGCAGACTCCAGGATGGTCGGACCAGTAGATGGAGGATGTGGCATCGAGGATGTCCCGTTGTAGACGTGACAAAATCGATGCCTCGAATGCATACCAGATCGGTCGATGCCGGGCAGCAGCAGTACGGAATGGAAACGTGGACGGTCTTCGTTTCCACCGACCCATCCATCATCCATCTGTCTCCCTCCCGCCGATATTGGTCTATGAAGCTTGAAGTGATCCCCCCCCCCCCCCCAACCCTGGCGGCATTTTCACGGCGTCGCTCGCTAGGATAGTCCCGGTATTTGCACATACTCAGAGGATTATTGTGAAATTGGCCTTGGCCTGGTTGTGAGGAGTCTGCGTGATGAGCGCGGCCCCTCCTCAGCCTCCGCCGCAAAGGAGAGCACAATTTGCTTGTCGGATGTCCGTTACTGGGTATGTCCCAGGCAACTGTCATGGTCGATGTTCTCCGCTCGTGTCTAGTAGTAGGCAGTTTAGGCGGTCGAGAATCCGGCCAAGGGCGCCAGTGGGTATGGAGACGGCGTGCGCTGAGAGAGCCTGAGACTCCAAATGAGGATGGCAGCGTCACAATCGAATACAATGTTCAGCGGGTGATGTCGGGGTCCGGGCTCGAGGGTGACGATGGGAGACTAGCTGCCCCTGGGATGAAACAAATGGCAATGGGTAAACCATCAACTGACAAGCCAGTCGCGTGCAACGGATACGGAAGGAAAGTGGGATAGAACCCCCCATCTGCGGTGCCATAGTGCGTTACAAAGCTTAGTACCCAGGACCGGCAGGCGAGGTCCGGACCTGAGTCCGGACCCGACTGAAATTGTTGTTGGGTTAAGTTTTGGCCTTGCAGTACTCCGCACTACTTTATAGGTACTTAGTGTAGGTACCTGCCTTAGGTGGTGGGTAGGTAGATATGATATATACTTGGGACATGGCTCCTGCCCTCCCTCGTCTCTTCCCACCTTCGGTCTGAACTTAGACCGCGCCGGCCGGTGCGTTGCCGTCCCGAAAGAAAAGAAAAGAAGGAAAGGAAAGCCAACGAGAGCGTGGGCAGCAGGCTGGGCTGCGCTTTCCTTCCCGCCTTCTTCCCTCCTTTCTCACCCTCCTTCCCTCCTTCCCTCCTTCCCTCCCCAGTCACTCTGGCTACCCTTGACTTGCCGTCCCTGACTCTTGACTCTTGCCCTGGGACAGAACTCATCAATAATTTGACTTCTTCAGAGACAGGGGCAATCAACTTATCTCGGCCAGGCATGACTGCCCCGCCAACGGCAACGGCTAACGGAGATTCCCGCGGTGCATAGGCACGATATCTGGACTGTACGAGGTGGCACGCATGAGGTGCGTGGGTCCGAGGAAGAGCTGCCCTTAAGAAGCTGCCCCTCCAGCGGCCACGTGCTATACAATACAATAGTATAAGCCCGCCTACCCTTTCTGGAAGCCCTATAAGGTAACAGAACAACCTGGATGCCCGCTTCTCTAGGGGCCGCCTCCAGCAGCTTTACCCAGCAGCCTGAAAGATTGTGGATGCCCAGGTCACTCACTGCCACCCCGACCGGCGAGGTGCGCATACAGTACTTTGTCCATGTGCCTGAAGTCTCTGGTTGTTGAGTTTTGTTTGATGTTGTCAGCACGACCCAAACCTTCTCTGACCTGGATAGGTCCTTCTAAGATACCCGTAGCTACCTACGTGCCCCGTGTAGTGAGGTACCTGACTCTCAAGAACAGCGGACAAAGTGGACCCGGATCCCTTATGTAATCTAGATCCATCTGAGCACCTCCCGATACGGGTACATACGCCGTACTCAATTTTCCACCACTCCGTTTCCTTGATCTTTTTGTGTTC